CAGGTGATTGAAGAGTTGGCTTGTGCTGTAGGGTTTGAGAACCCTGTCGGAGATGGCCGAACCCGGTTCTCTTCGTTAATGTGGATATCCGAGTCTGAGGGAGGTTTAAGTAGTAAGCCGCTTTCCTCGAGTCCGTTGTACCCGTTTGTAATCGGGTTAAGTTTTCAAATACGTTGCCGGAAGTACTCCATGTTGGCGGATTCGGGTTGGGTATCCGTTTCTCCTCAAATGGATTCGGTCTTGGTGACCCTTGGTGACGTTGCGCAGGTTAGATTTTCAATTAGTACATTCCATTTTTGATTTTCCGTTAGCTTAAAATAATTCAATTAGTGTGTGAATGGTACGGGGCCGCATGAATTTTTTAAATAATGTTAAGATTATTTTATCTCGAAATATCATTTTAAAGTATTTTTTAGTATTTGATTAATTGGTTACAAAAGTAAGAACATATGATTATTATACCTTACATAGTCGATCCAAAATTTAAATCTTATGGGTTCAAGTCTCATGATTTTTAGCATTGAATCCTTTATATTTTTAAAGTTATGAGTTCCTATCTTTACTCCAAGTTATGAATCCAAGTTATGAATTTTTTCATATAAATATTTATTCCGTGTCAAAAGTTATGGGTTCAATTGAACTTTAACACTACATTCACCCCTGGTTATACAAATATTATAGGGCATAAGAATCATGTTTTAGTGATATTTTTGAATTACTAAAAGAAAAAGTTAAGTGTAGATTGAAACAAGTATAATAGAGAAACAACTGAGATATATATAAAAGAAACAAAATCGAACCGTTCCGTTCGATCGGATATTAATTGGTCTTGGTTTGATATAATTTATTCGTTACTGATGCCATATTTCATTAGTTAATTTTTTTTACCGTCTTTGAATTCGTATTTTATTCGTATACAATCAACGAATGTCTACTTCTATCTTGAGTGACGTTTCTTTCCTTTTGTTAAATGTTTTCTATTATTCAAGAAACCATTTCCTGCATATAAAACACACCCTTAATTCCCTAAACAAATTAATAGCCCGTTTGGTCAAGCTGCAAAAATATCTTATTTTGAGAAGTGTTTTTTTTCAAAAGTACTTTTTTCAAAAGTACTTTTGGTGAGAAGCAGTTTGTGTTTGACTAATTAGTTTGAAAAGCACTTCTGAGCAGCAATTAGTGTTTGACCAAACTTTAAAAAACTGCTTCTAAGTGTACTTTTCTCAAAAGTGTTTCTCAAAAAAGTGTTTTAGAAGAGAAACTACTTTTTTTTCTGCTTCTCCAAAATTACTTCTGCTTCTCCTCAAAAGCACTTTTTTTCCTTCCAGAAGTTTGGCCAAACACCCCAAATTGAGGTCAAAAGTGCTTTTGGCAAAAAAAAAAAAACACTTTTGACCAAAAATAAGCTTGGCTATAAGTTATATCGGGTGTTTGGTCAGGCCAATAACCACACGTTGCCGTGATATTGGCAAATTAAGGACCCCACTAAACCTACCATATCTTAGATATTGCGTCCTTTTGATATGAAGTTGGAGCTCTAATTCTTGTTTTATTTGACACGAAAAATGTACTTATGATGTGATAATATTATTAAATCGACATTAATTGTAAGGTTTGCCGGCTTAATGTAACATCTTTAGTCCCAACTTGGTGCTTTTTGGATAACTTGTATGTATCCATGCTCCATTTGTTTTCTTGTTGAGCTCTTATTGACAATCCTTATCAGGTCTAATATTTGATTTAATTAGTAATTAAAATCGACAAGAATGTGTTGATATATCTTGTTTTACTCATGATTCTTCCAGAATAATTAGTAGGTAGGTTAATATAAATTACGAAATTCCTCATGTTTATTCATAGAATTAAAAATAGTTGTTATTCGTGTCCCTTGGATGTATTGGTAGTGCATTAGTTATAATATGACAATGGCTGCTGAGAATGATATCCTAGAATATTCTTAATTTATTTAAACTAGTAGCTGTCGACAACCTAATTCTAACAATTAAGACTTTTATCGTGTTATTACTTGTTGCAATTGAAAAGCCTAATCTATCCAATTTCGATTTGGAAAGCATTTATTCAAGGGAGAAAATTCAACATCCATCATTTTCAACTCGTGGGACAGATATAAAGGCTAAAGACCTTCAGCATAAAAACGAAAAAAAAAAGAAGAGGGGCGTAAAGACGCCTGTCAGTAATGATTGTGACGTAATGCTAGCTACATTTATTTACTGCTACACTATTATTTTACTGAGAACTTATAAGCACAAGTAATTCAAAAAAGAATATTTCTAAAAATTAAGTCCTGGACTTTCTAACTTTGCTGTTCAACGTCAATTAAAAAGGAAACTAAGTAGACCCTTTAGTTGGCGCTGATCATAAATGTGGTTAATTAATATCACCGAGAATTAAGAGATACCGGCTAAATTAAACAACAAAAATTGATAAATTTTCATTTTATCTTCCACTAAAAATTCGCCTTAATCCATTTAATTTTGCAAGACGAAAATTCGGCACTGTCCTGTTGCACAATACTTTATCAATTTGTAGCTACTGAAAACTTTAAACTGTCAAATATAAAAATGAAGCGAAATTTGTGATTTTGACAACGTAATAATATACGGTGATCAATCTAATTCTTTTTGGTTGTTCATACTGTTGTAATAACTGATCGATAAATGGCTGCAGGTATGGAGCAATGGAAAGGTGAAAAAAGTGAGAGGACGACCAGTACTAGCTGCTACTGCTGATTTAGCGGAAGGCAACAGTAATACTAGTAATTCCCACTGCCTATCAATGGCATTGTTAGTGACACTTCCTCTTGAGAGCACTGTCACTCCGTTGCTTCCTAAATCGCCGCCACCAGTTGATGATGGCGAGAATAATTCGGAAAGTCCACCAATGTTCAATCCTTTTTCTTTCGAGGATTACGCATGGAGAGTCTATCATGAACGCCTTCTACTTAAGGATCCTCTTGTTAGATACCGTCTTTGATTATTGTTATGGAGTTGCTATCCACTTCAAACATCTTCTCTGTTTGTTCATTTATTTATTTGTCCCTTTTCTTTTTTCCTTTGTTTTTTTGTTCTTGAAAATTTACTTTTGTGTTATGAAACAATAAAAGAAAAAGAGTAGTATTGGAGAGAAAAGTAGAGAGAGAATTCTTATTGATTTTGGGATGAATTACAATGGAATAGAACCCCTTTATTTATAGGGAAAAATGACTTAGCCACCAAGTAACAAACCTTACAATCTCTCTAAAATATAGACATTCACCTTAAATAGAATTCTATTTATAACACTCCTCCTTGAATGTCCATCCAACATATAATGTGCCTCGTTAAAACCTTAACTAAAATAAAACCCAGTGGAAAAAAAATCCTAATAAAGGAAAAATAGTAGACATATCTAACAATACGCCTTTTGGTTGACTCGTTAAAAACATTGCAAGGAAAACCCAGTGGGACAAAACCTCGTAAGGGAAAAAGAGTACAATGCGTATTAACTCCCCCTGCTGAGAGCATTAATTCACATGCTTGAGCCTTAGCATTCCAATCTTGTACACTAGCTTCTTGAAGGTTGACGTCGGTAGAGATTTGGTGAACAAATCAGCCACATTAACTTGAACGAATTTGTTTCACCTTGAAATCATCATCCCTAATAGATGTATTGTCTTCATATGATCTTGTTGGAATCGTTATTTCAATATCTTCACATAGAGGTGAAAACTCTTGCTATCATATTATCTTGCTTATAGCTATAGCAAGATACATTTGTGCACAAATTGCACTGAGAAAGTTGTACTTTAAGATCAAGAAGTGTATATGCTTCAAGCAATTTAAATCCTCCAGGGATTGTCATATAAGTTAAGTAATATAAATAGACTTTAGATTTACATCAAGTTTTCATGTCATGCTAGACATATAAGATATCAAAAACTGATTGCACATTCCATTGACTTATACTTTCAAGTGTTTGAACTGCAGGTCCAAAACTTCATGTCTTTCATATGAAACCAATTCTACTAGAATTGTTTCTCTTCCATTTGGCGAATATTTTTGTGTCTGTATTCGACTGACTTAAGATCCTCATCTATACTTAGCGTTATGATAGATGTCGTCGACGAACATTTTATATCGGTTCCAACCTTCTTATTTTTCATAAAGACATAACATAGAGATCTCTTCATTCATTTCAGGTATCTGAACCTCTCCTGAGGTTTTATGAAATGTTATGTTATGTGATCTTCTAGATCACTTACCTTCTTATTATGGTCATTTGCTCATCTTCTTTATCAAGAAGTTTATTTGAAATCAATTTGTCTATACACCTTAAGCGTACCGCAGACTTTATCCTTCTAGGACTTATTCTAATAAGAGCATTTGCATTGAGAATATAGTTATTTTCTTTGGGTCAGCAAATTTGTCTGACCACTACAAGAAAAATGCTCAATAGCGAAGGGAAAACTGGACCCTAAAAGTAATAAATTGGTCCCAAATGGTCAATAGCGACCAGCTAATCTGGTCCTTATAGCTTCCGCCGCTAAAGATCATTAAGGACGAGATATGGTGTTGGTCGCTAAAACAATTTCGCGACCAGTTTATAACTAGCCCTTAAAAGGTTTTTAAGGACCATGTTTCTGGTGCCTATTTGCATATTTTAGGGACTAAATTTATGGTCCTTAAAATGTTTTCTGGACTAGTTTAAATGTGGTCGTTAAAACGTTTCGCGACCAGTTAGAAGCTGACCGTTATATCTTTCGGAGAAATTTAAATCTAGTCCCTAAGTCGAGCAATCCGTACTACAAAGCTACAGATTTAGCAACCAAATTTTTCACTCTTAAGAAGGATTTAAGAACTAACAGTTTATTCCCTAAATAAATAAGTCACAAGTCCCTAAATCGCATTCAATTTGCAACTAGAAAATCTGGAATATTAATATATAGATGATGTTGCTTTCATAAAATAATGCCAAAAATGATCAACATCATTTAGGTGCACGTACATAATTGATGTAAGCTAGTCACAATGTTGTGTTCATAAATATTTAGCAAAAAATTATATATTACTAATATCCCTCGATTGTAATGTAAAATTTTCTTGAAACTCCCAGTAAAATGATGGTTAATCTGTATGTCGTCAAAAATTTGCTTCTAGTGAACTTCAATATCCAAAACCTATAGAAGAAATAAGAAATTTCATTTAGAAAAACTATATATATTAATAAAGATGGAACAAAATCAGGGGTTGACGTAAGATTATAAAAATAATAAAGAAAAAAGAAGCAACAGAAAGTTAATGGCTAGACACCATTATTCCCTTTCATCTTATTAACTTAGATTGGTTTGTCATAATTTTGTCACAGCCAAGTTCATGATACATATTGTCAGCTTAAGCCTAATAGATCTCACAGATTTACCCGTTGAACTACGCCATCATCGAGGCGAAAAACGTGCATACTACTCATTATTCAGAGTCATGTGGTATTATTTAAATATCTAAATTACGGTAGAAGAAAAGAACAGTAGATCTAGTAGGTATGAGAATTGATAAAACGATGATTCTTCCATTTCTGACAAGAGAAGATAGAACCACAGATATTGCATAAAGAGTTCAACTCAAACAAAAAAAACACGTCACTAAGAGGTAACCACACAAATTATAGCAAAAGTACAAAACAAAGGTTAAGACTTGCCAACCCCAAAAGATAGGAGCCAAGAGAACCCCACATCTACTAAAACTAGGATGTCATGATATAATGACATCATAGACAAACCTGGATACGCTTCCTAAAGACATCATTCTCATAAAAACCAATAGCTTGTATAAAGTGCCCCTCCCTCTCCAAATTAACTTGCAGTAATGAATAGGCAAAGCCCATAATCAAATACAACTACTACGTGCTTCAAACATATCATGCAGATTAGACAACTTTAGAGCCGGAGAAGTTCTTTCAGGCATTAAAACTAGTTAATGATTGGATATAAGATTTACAAACCTTCACACACACCTATAAATTTAACATCAATAAAGACCAGACATTGCATATTTCAGACAAACTAGGGTCACGTCTGCTTCATACAATAAGTCATCACAATAGCCTTTACAATTGTTATACGGACGAGCAAATGGTAAGACAGAAAGTACATATGGAAACATGGCATAGGTTGGAAATGAAAATGGAGCAACACAGAGAAGCAAACTATTCTGTACCTGGCAAGAATTAGTAAGATAGCCACCCATATTGATAAATTCCTTCTTGTAGAAATCAATCAGTAAGTCAATGGCTCCCTAGAGGTTCACAATTAAAAGAACATTCAGAATAGAAGCAGATGGGACAAAGGAGATACATTCAATATGAATACCAACACATAACTCTTTGCCAGCAAAATTCTAGCTCCAAAAACCAAAGGGCAACTAGTACGGTAGGCTAAATGAGAAAAGCACTAATTAACATCCAAAGAATACAAACCTCAGATATCTTCAAAGATGGCACATGGGAAAGAAAATCATTTCCAACAAATAAACACATGAAAACAAAATCATCTATCAGCCGCTCAGGTCTAGTTTGACAGTTGGATATGGAATTTGAAGTTTGTATCCCAAATAATCTCTGAGTACCCATACTTTAAGAAACTAAAAAGATCCAGCAGCAGAAATTTAGAAAGACATAGTATAGTATAATATAATATAATATAATATTAAGTATAGGTAAGACTTGACATACTGTGAGTAGCAATCTTATGAAGTATTTGCTGGAAATGCATTTATTTGGTACGATACAACAAGGAAATAGATAATACCAGGTACTGATTAAGTTAACAGAAATGGAAACATGGTAGTTCACATGATTTACATACAACTATATATTTATCAACATGGAAAGAAAGAGGGAGAAATTGATCATATTATCATACATGTGGACTGTGACCACATAACAGTTTCTATGTATCACTATATTAAGTTATAGAAGCACATAATATGGACACACATGGTTATAGTTAGCTGTCTATTTTTTGTCTCTTATAATTTCAATTTAAATCAAACTGACATCGCTTTTTAACCATAACCTTCTCAAAATAATTAGTTCTTCATAGATATATGCTGCACCACTATAAATGTGATGGACAATAAGACGTGCATTTCATAATTAATATGGTTGCACTTGAACATTGAAAATTCGAATTTGTAACTTAAAAACTATCATGTTTTTCCTATATCCTTCCTCTTCCAAGCTCGTGCCAACCAATTTTTTGTTCTCTCTTTTAACCTAATTGTATCCTTGTCCAGGATGCATACTTGCTTGCTAATCCCCTTACTTGAGTTATTGAACTGATAGCTATTAACATATAATATCGTCAGATAACAGGGAAACAATTGGAACCTAAAGGTAATAATAAAGATTAAGCAATCTATTCTCAATTCTCCTTACTGACAAAAGTATGACACTGGACACATAAATTTTATTTCATCTACCCCAAATGAGAAAAGTAGCAGGAAAACCAGAACGAGGGATTGAAAGAACCATGCTGGAGATATCAACCTTCTTTTGTCAACCCTCAGTAACAACATCCTCCAATAAATTCTCTCTACTTAATAATTACAGGGTATTCGTCAACCCAAACCCTCTTTCCTAAATTTATCTATCTCGTTTTCTCTGTCTAGGTTTTACTTATTAGATCTAAAGGAGAGTGAATCATAGATGATTAACTTTGACATCAATTGTAACAAAATTAAGTAATAGTTCATCTAAATTAAGACATATGGAGAAATTGTCAATTTGTTCTATCAGATTAATTTCATATGCAAACCAATTATTTAAACCAAAGAAATTATTTTTATTCCCTTGAAATTGGTACACCATATACAGAGCGAGTACCTTCCAATTGTTTCTTGTTAATTCAGTAAGCCATCTTTCGACGGATTTCTCCAAATATTTTCTTAACTGATTATGATTAGGCCAGAGAGATAGAGAATAATTTGCTGATGGCGGCTAAGATTCCAGTATGAGATCATAACTTCAGAAATCTAGGATTTCATCTCCTCTTCTATTCTTTCTTTCATTTGTATCTGTTAGTTTTTCTTAATTTACAACCACAAGAAACTAGAACCAGTTTGGATTTGGAACATATAATCAGGAAGAGAAAAACGTTGTAGATAAATTTATGAAAGGAAACAGAAAGAAAAAGTTTTTCCAGAAACAAATGGAACCTCAGCATTCAAAAGAAGTTACTTTGACTGAGAAAAATTCCCTTCTTGGAACCAACATATATTCAGTTATTTGGATTCACAAACATAGAATAATTTCCCACAGTTCACGAAATAATAAGAATTTTTTGTAGCAGCATAATAGAAGTATAGAACTATATCGAGCATTTCTTAAAGTTTCATATTTCAAAACAAGACAAGCACATCAAATTCCAACAACTTACGACAGCGACGGAGCTTGATAACACAATGGTACAACATTGTCATACTAAATTAAATTTCTAACCTGAAAAATCACCCAATTTTAGACCCAATAATTTCATTTTTATCACTCACACAAGAAAAATTAGTATTCTAAATAACCAATTGCAGAAAACAACTAAAGAAATAAAAAAATTGCAGAACCCTTATTTCGATTTCTGATTCAATCGGGGAAAAAAAGCACGAAGAAGAAAAACGAAACAGAAGAGATTAAAGAGAAAGAAATTAAACTTACTCTTGTTTAGGCGGATAATCCAATGGCATAATTTGTATGAAGTCGCTTGGAGAGATAAATTTTAGACACTACCCTTCTGAGTTCTTTGCAACCTTGTGCTTTTTGAGAATTTGGAGGGATTACCGTGAAATTTTTCGAGCTTTCCTTCTTTTTTTGAACTTTAGTTTTCGTCAAATTCGCGCCCTTATCCCGCTGAAAATCCATATTAGAGACCAGACATTAACTTTTGTATAGACCAGAGTCTATGTAACGACCCGACTGGTCGTTTTGAGCTTTTGCACTTCGATCGCCAGTTTTCAGGTATGACTTGCCCCGTATGGTGTAATATGACTTATGTAAATCGTTGGTTTAGGTTTTTAGGGAAATCATAACGAATTTGGAAGAACAGTTCTTAGTTTGTAGCTTGAAATTTGAAAGGTTTGACCGAGATTTGACTTGTTTGTATATGATCTCGGATCGGAAATTTTATGATTTGGTTAGCTCCGTTGGGTGATTAGGGACTTAGGAGCGTGATCGAAATGCATTTTGGAAGTCCGTGGAAAGTTTAGGCTTGAATTGGCGAAATTGAGATTTCGGCGTTTTCCGGTTGATAGGCGAGATTTTGATATAGAGGTAGAATGGAATTCCAAGAGTGACAATAGTTTCGTTGTGTCATTTGGGATGTGTGTGCAAACTTTTAGGTCATTCGAACGAGATTTGATAGACTTTTTGATCGAAAGCATAATTTAAGAGTTCTTGGAGTTCTTAGGCTTGAATCCTATGTTAAATTGGTGATTTGATGTTGTTGTGAGCATTCCAAAGTTTTGAACAAGTTTGAACGAAGTCATGGGATGTGTTGGTATAATTGGTTTGAAGTTCTGGGAGTTCCGGGTAGGTTCCGTGATGTTTTAGGCCGAAAATCATAGCTGTAGCAGATCCAGAAGGGTTGCAGGCCTCGAAACCCACCCGCGCGGTCCGCACAAAAAGAAGTGCGACCACGGTATGTGCTGTGCAGACCGCACAAAATGAAGTACGGCCGAAGTAGGTGTTGTGCGGACCGCACAAAATGTTGTGCGGCCGCGGTGGGGAACATTCCACTCGTTCTACTTCGGAAGCTCATATATTTTGATCTATAAGGAATTTTGAGATGATTCAAAAGTGAAAGTAACAGCCCTTCGTGTCTAGTTTCCAGAAAGTTAAAGATATCACAATTTGGACATCTCTAGCGAAAGCTATGGCTACAATACTAAAGTCTGTCACTGCAGAGGAAAGCCTGTGCGGTCGCGGTCGTTTTTGTGCGGACCGCACTGGTTTTGTGCGGACCGCGGTCAATTTTGTGCGGTCCGCGGAGGTGAAAATCTGTGGGGTACTCTATAAATACGAGATTTTGGATTTTATTTGATATTTTGACCTAGAGAGCTCGGATTTTGGCGATTTTTCAAAGGTTTTTCAAGAAATTCATCGGGGTAAGTGATTCTAACTCAGATTTGGCTAGAGTACATGAATCTATCATTGAATTCATCATTTAATTCGTGATTTGGGATGGAATTTGGGAAGGACCAAATGGTATCGGAATTGGATAATTTTTATATGGTTAGACTCGTGAGAGATAAGGATTCTAGTTTTGTGAATTTTGTCAAATTCTGAGACGTGGGCCCGGGGCTCGGATTTTGGTAATTTCGGGAATTGGGCCCTTTGTTGATTGTTTTCGCTTGGTCTTTGTTCCCTTAGCATATTGTGACGTATTCGTTTTGATTTTGGAT